TGTCACAGTGGCATTTTGTCCAGCATATACACAATGGCAACGATGACTGCTGAAATGGATTGTGCTCACGGAGGGACCTCCGTCAATGTATGCCCAAGTTCTTCCCCAAACAATCCATGGGACTGCCATCTTGACCTGTCATTGGGATATGTTCAGGGCTCTCATTGGTGAATGTATAGGCATATATTCCAGTCCCATAGAGTCCAGTGTCGTGTCTTTCTTCGCTTCAAAAACACCCGTCTGAGGTTGCCCACGACGGTGTCGCTGCTCTTGTACTGCTCGTGATTCACGCCCATCACGTACATTGGGACGGAATCCTGACCGGAAGAACGAACCGGATCCCTAAGAAGCGACGTGCTCCATCCGAAAAAAATCCACTAAGTGAAAGAAAAGAACAATGATGACACAAGTTCAAGACGTTTTTGATGGAATATGTACTCCTTCTAGCCTAGTTCATTCTTGCTTCCTGGGTCCTAGCCACATCCCGCCAAAACATTCATGCCTGTTACTCCGGGAGTCCATCTTCTACACACAGAACACACCCATGGACCCCCCACCCATCATGGGCCGCCCCGCGGCGCCCGTGCCTTAGGAGGGGCGGAGATGATGACCTTCTTGGCACCTCCACCGATGTGCAGCGAGGCCTCCGCACGCGGATGCCGTGGACGCGCGCGGTGCCCGCGGATGCCGATGCCGACGCGCCAGCGCCCAAGGGTCCAAGCGCAACCGGCTTGTTCTAGAGCAATGAGAGGCATGGCTGGTCAGAGTCATGAATTGGATATATGTCGCTGCATATTTTATGTATTTTTTGGTTTCTGCATGCCTTTGATGTTGAGTCGTGATTCGAAAAAAAGAAAAATAAACATGATTGGGGTCGCCAGTCGTCCTTAGGTTTGGCCAATCACGAAGAACCCAAATGCCCGGCTGCCCCAAGGACTCCCAGGCGAGAAGTTCGGCAAACGTGGAACCCACATGTCCCGCTTCCCCTGCGACCGCATGGCCGGGCCCGGGTGACAGGGCCGCCCAATGCCAAACACCGACCTCGGACCTCGCCGCGACGGGCCCCGAGTCCACGTAGGAGGACCCCGTACAACGACCGACCGACCTCCGGCCAACGGCCGTACGGCTCCGCGGCTCGGCGCCTTCTCCTGAGTCGTGAAGATGCCTCGGCGCCCGGCCGCGGGGGCGGAGGGTCCGAGTCGGACGAGTGGTCCTGCGCGAAAAACGCTCTGCCTTGAGAGTGACACGAGTTGTCCTGCAGGGTGGTTGGAAAACAACTTATACACAAGAACTTAAGGGCGGATTCGCCGACATAAGGCTTATAGTACGCTCCGACACAAAAACTCAAAGTTTCCTGGGAGTTCTCCTGCCCGACAGCGAACGGATCGTACTTAGACAGCTCTGATCCATTGAAACAAGAACCCATCGGTCATCGGTCTACCTGGTTCTTCAAAGTGACCTTTCGATTGCCTGGTTTACTTAGGAACCTTCAAAAGGTCACTTTGAAGAAGCTGGTATCTCAGTTGAATTTTGGGATGTTACGACTGACGACATCTATACAAGAGGTTTTCAAATCCCAAACGATCTTTAGTGTTTCTTCCTTCCATAGCTGCCATAGCTGCAGTAGTGTTCTCTTGTCGCGAGGGTTCTTTAAAACCTTGCTCTTGCTCTTATCCCTAGTATCCACTGGCCCCTTGAGGGATTCCAAACGCCTTGGACCAAAACAGAATCTTGCCCCAGAGGACCTCTTCATCCATTCTTCCCCAAGTTCAACTACATTGATAGAGGAGCTTTGAATGTTGGAGTCGAACTCCCGAAGTTCTCAGGTATAGACTGAGGCCTCAGTTCCAACGTCTTGACTCCAAGGTTGGAGAAAGCCTCAAGCTACTCCGACCACCAGCCCCGCGCACCGCGCACCGCAGCTCCCGGACCGGTGGACTCGCAGACGTACTCCGCGCCGCTCTCCCCCCACTTGATCGAGGCGGGGTCCTTGACGGTCGGACCCAGCTCGAGGACCGGGCGGTGTGAGGACCGGTTGCACCCACCCACCTCACGAAGTGAGTGCCCCCAAGCACCCAAACACTCCGTTCTTTCGACGAAGGACTTCGCACCCGGTCCTTCTCGTGAAAGACGGCGATGTCCTTGCCGTTCACCACCTCGTGGCCCGTTTCGGCGTTCCCGTCACGATGTGCCCCGTGCAGCCCGTGCCCCGTGCAGCCCGTGCCCCCCGTGCAGCCCGTGCCCCCTGTGCCCTTCACTCATTCGCGCCATCAGTCCAGGCGCTAGGAATTCCTTCGCGCCATCCTTCTTGGCCGCGATGGTGCCTGGTGCATCGGACCGTCCAAGCTGGAAAGCAAGAAGCGAAGGAGAATGTGAAGGATGGCTGAGACCAAGATGGCAGCCTGTTCAGTGTGGCGCGCCTGTAACGGAAAAAAGATGATGATCTTCAGGCAACCAAAACCCGGAAGACGTGCATTCGGTTGAAAAAAATACAAAATGTAGTGTGTAGATCGACTGGAAAATTGTGGTGGGTAAATGGCACCTGCAATCCGTATTAGTATGCCAAGGCTATGTGTATATCTTCCTTTTTGTTTCACCACTACTCAAGTTGCAGCACTTGAGATCAACCTCAACAAAGAAGAACTTGCACGCCCCAAAAGCACACCAACATGCACACCCCAACAGAGCAAACCTCCCAGCATGCACACCCCATGTGAGCGGCTCAAAGGTTTTCTGGAAGAAAACCTTAGAACACTCAACATCCTGCTCTCCTGCAAAGGTCTTGTGCACGCTATCATACTTCAACTGGTAGACCATGTAGTCCAAATCCTTGGTGACAAGCAGCTGGCCGCTGCTTCGGGTCGGTCGGTGGCAGCCGGCAGGCCGTTCTGGGGTTCAAGCCATAGAACCTCCAGGAACAGCTTTCCTTTGATGTGGTTCCTTCTGTAAAGATATCAGGAACAAAGAAACATCCAGTAGATGTCTGTTTAAAATCGTTCTTTGACCAAGAGTTTTGGGTGTCAGCCTATTCTTGAGCCATGGCATGGCCGTCATGGGCACATCTGACCTCAGAACTTCCCCTCCACCACGCTTCGACGCGCCCACGCTTGCTGACGCCACGCGTTTTTGATGACAGACCAGTCGCCATAAAGGGGTCGTTGATGGCCTTCACCTGGCGACCACGACCAGTCGCCATGCGCAGGACTACGGCGAGTTGATTGAAGTTGCACCCCGGTGGCGTGGCGGTCGTGGCTGGAGTAGCCGGGATCACGAGTCTCCATGAATCAGCCCAGCCCTTGGTAGGGGGTTTGGGGGAGCGGTGAATTTGTTGTGATGGTGAGGAGAGTGCAAGTCTCAAAACGCTGACAGCAAGTTTCAAAAGGAGAACATCTGCATCTCAATTTGTTCGAGGCTGTTTGTTCGTTTCTGTCTTCCGGATTTCTACATTGATGACGGTGGTTGTTCATGGCATATGCTGGCAAATCTGAACGAGGATGAGTTGGGTTATCAGAAACATGCTCATCATACGCGAAAAGCCTTCAATTCTGCCAAACAAAAGAAGCCTGCACCCTACAGCTCGGCAACCACAAACAGTCTCTGACTCTAAAGGTTCAAACTTCTCCGAAATCAGAACCCTCCACACGTCAGACCATCCCAAACACCCCCTGGTCCACCGACCGCGCCTCGGCATCAGGGTTGGAGGATGCAGCACGGAAGACCAATCGTCCGATGCGGCCGAAGCCGTTGATTCCCATACCTCGGCGGCGTTCCGCCGAAGCACGGATCCCAAGTCGACCGAATGCACAAACCAACCGTCGAAGAAAAACCCAACCGTTTGGGCACAAGAATGGGACACCAAGCACAAGAGGAAGGGAGGTGCCAGGGTGGTGAGATGTCTCACCCCCCTATGTCGCAACGAAGAGTGACCCCCCCGAACGACCCGAAGCAGTTCGGTTCGGGGTTCGCGCGCCACAAGGGGACCTCAAACAGCCCGGAGGGTTGGAGGGTTTTCGGTCACTCATCAGATCGGCTTGTCCCGAGAAATGCTTCCAGCAGGATCCGGTGAAGTTTCAACAGACCACACCAAACCACACCAGACCAGCAGGATCCCGGCCGCCACACACGTCGAGGACCCGGACCCCCTTTTTCGACCCCCCGCACATGCGTTGTCTGCCAAGACGCCCACAGGCATCTTGAAGTTCGAGAAAACTGGGATCAATCTATCCGTGAAAACCCTCTTTGAGCACTGCAAATGACGGCAGGACCAAAAAAAGGAATCGGCACGGAAGATCAAAGAAAAACACCTCAACCTGCAACAACCACTCACTCGCAAGCTGCACGCGGTTACCTGGCAGAAAACGCGAAACCTTCACCGGCGGTTTTTCACCCGGTGGGATCCTTTGTGGTCGATGTGGTCGACCTGTCAGCACCACCTGGTCAGCACCACCTGGTGGGATCCGTCTTGAGCTAGCCTGATGGGTGCAGATGATGGTTAGGTTTCAGGCCGACATCTCGTCTATAGAACAAGTGAATGTGTCGTACTCCCCGAGTGTTGCAGGTCATGAAAGTAAAACAACCCAGATCCTTCAAATCTTCGCGAAAAAGAAAGGATAAAAATACCATACACCACCGAAGGTCTTCCCCATTCCCAGGTGGGATGTTTCAAGAAAACCGCATTCCCAAAAGTCCGAAGGAGTTGAAGAGACATGGGACAAGTTACTACTCGGGGTCTTTGGGTGCGCTGCGCTCGCTTTGTCGACGCGACGCTCTCAGTCACGCGACTGTCAGGCTGGCTTGGTGTGCGCGTCCCTGCGCGCGTCCCCTTTTTTGACCCGGGAACAGGCACCTGACTGGTGAGTGGCTGACTAGGGTGGCTGAGTTTGAATCAGGGTGGCTGACCTTCGGAATGGATCGATTAGTCACCTGGAGTTATGCATCGAGAGCCACCAAGAACAAATCGATTAGCCACCTGTTCTGAGATCATTGCAAGTGCGCACCAGTCATGGAGATTTGTGGCTCTGCTTTTCTGCTTTTTCGTCAACATGAATTTCGAGCACCAGATTCACTACAAAAGAGTAGACACCCGAGCAATTCTCACACCCCAATCCAGTATCACAAGCCCAGGTATGGGCTGGAAAAACAAGAAAATGGTCACTGCCACCACTGTAAACACCAACAATGGCTTCCCTCAGCATACCTAGTGCAGTGCCTCCATCAACCCTGCCATGGTCAGTTCGCATCTTTCTCCCTGGCAGCGAGGCTGTAGGCAGCCGAGCGAGGCAGGCGACCTGGCGATGGACCAGCGACCTGCTTGGTGGTGGCACCACAGGCCAGTTCGCGTCTGCTTTGACTTGGTGCAGAGAAAACATCTTCAAAAACACCTGGAAGGCATCGCGCATTCAAAAACCTAGGCAAGTGCAAACTGGACATGAAAAAAAAATCATGTTCAAAATCATCTGGAAGTTCTGGAAAGGGGCCCCAATCAAACCCGTATCAGAACTCTGAGTTCACAGCTGTGATTCTGCCACCTCATGATGAGTTCCCTGCAAGAACTAGTACCACCCTGCTGTAATTGTTCCAACACCACAACCAACTCCAAAAGCGTTTTGCGAGTTGTTGTTATTACTGGTTCCCGGACTGGTGTTCACACCCGACGGGGCTGACTTTTCCGAGGTCCTTTGCGAAGCTTTCACCCACGCCCATGCTGCCTGGGCATCAGGACACTACTCCTCGCCAGGCCTTTGGCAAAAAGCTCCGTGTGGGTTGGACGAACTATCAGACTTATGCCACACACGTTTCTACCACCTGGAAGCTGCATGTGACATAAGTGTTTGGTAAGATGTGTCATGCTAGCCGCCTGCTAGCTTCCCTCGTGTCCCTTGGGTTCATGGGAGTCAATGGACTTGGAATCTTTATACATCGGTTGTTCACATGTCCACTCTTTCACTCATCTTCCAACCTACCGCTCACCTACCGCGAGCAAACCACGCCCACCGCTCGCGCAACTCAGGCTGCCCCTTCGACCGGTCCACGGGCTTCCAGGGTAAAACCTCCATGGCCTCCAGGCTCACAACAGGTCCCACCAACACAACTGGTCTTCATGGAAACCATGTTTACCGGTGGTTGGGGGAAGGCATGACTTCATGCACCGAAAGCGCAGCTTGCGGTGCCCGAGGCACCGGTGGTGGCCCTCGTCGTCTTTCTTGTCCTCTTTGTCCTCGTCCTCTTTGCCCCCTGAACCTGAGAGGCCACACTTAGAACCGCTGTCAAAAATGCATAAGCCCTACTCGCCCTGATGTTCTGGGCCATGAGCAGTGGTTTGGAAAATGTTCTAGTATCCCTGATCTCTGAAGGAGCTCCACATCTGGCTGTCCTTTAACTACTGTATAGATGTGTCTTCTTCCACAAGCTGGCTCAGCCTTTAGACCATGCTGCTGTCCTGATCAAACAAACAGGGACCATGTGGGTAAAGCATAGCCTGCAGAAGAAAAACTAGCTTGAAAATAGCACTGGCGGGAGAAGGTCATCTACAATACTTCGACCTACCCAAAAAAGAAAGTGATGTCAAGGAATTCTCAACCTAAGCTGCTCGGAGAAGCAAACTGACCGGCCTTCGTCGCTGTCTTCATCCTCGTCCTCCCCGTCCTCGTCGTCTTCGCCTTCTCCTTCCCCGGCACAGCCGTGGCTGGTGTCACAAGGGCGCACTTTGGGTTTGTTCTTTCACCGGCGATGAACATGTCTCAAATGGCCAAACATGCTAAATAATGTGTGTGTAATCATTTGTTGATAGAACGAAAGGCACATACACACTTCTGACCAGGAAGTGGTGCTTAGAAAGCTACATCGAGTCTCATTCGTCCACCGTTTGAAAACCCTCCAGACTCGGCGCAGGCATCGCCCGCCCGGCGCAGGCGCAGGCGCAGGCCCGCCTGAGTCGCTCTCGCCCGCGGTCGCCTTCGCCTTCTTCGCCAGCTTCTTGTAGACCTCCGGGAAGCGCGAAGTCGGTGAAGTCGAAGAGTGAAGGACCAAAGGAACGAACGTCCACTGTTTAACGAAGGACCAACGAATGATCCACTGCGGACCTTCGAAGGGAGCTTCAGGGCCTTCAGGGCCCCCATAGCTTAAAACAGATGCTTTTCGCACTTCTTGGGGTGCCAAAAGAGGCGCGCACTTTTGACGTGGTGAGTCCACAGAAACTTTCTTGTGGCGGCATTCAGCGTTCTGTTCTACGAAACACTCCATTGCGAATTGCTGGGAATCGCGTTTTTTTTTGACCCTCAACCAAGCCAAACGATATCAAACGATGAAAATCAGTGGCCCTGCTCCCACAAAGGGACCTTAAGATCTCTGGCATCCTCACCCACTTTGGATGCGAGATCAGTGAGGAAGGTCAAGGCGTTCTTGTGCTCCTGGGAGCGGACGAACGCTTTGTTTCGACCCACCGGCGAGTCAAAGCTTCAATCCATCATGCGACATGTCGTTCAATGCCATAAGGATGCCATAAGTCCAAGCAATCATGCCATAAGGATGCCATAAGGATGTCAACATTGTCTTCAAGCAATCATGCCATAACTCCATCATAAGTCAGACAGAAAGACGAGCTGTGCAAAATCGACTCGACTCAAACCCCTTGGCCGCAACCAAGGGTGAAGGCAGAAAGCACTTCTTTGGGGACTCCAATTCAATTGAACCTTTGCAAATGTCTCGATTCGACTGGAAGTGTTTGGGGGCACCGGAGGTGAACCGTTCGCCCTGTGACAGGTGAAGAGAATCGTCCTTTCGGTCTTCATGCACGTTCTCTGAAGAAGCTGAGATGTTCTTAAAAACCAACTGTTTTATAGTTCCAACACGTGTTTTATAGTTGGCATATAGATATCGGCCATCTTTTGAGCATGATGTCCGAGCAACGACTCTCCCAAAAGTGACACCTGTGCAACTGATGGTGCCATCAAATGGACACTGCCAACGTCTATCTGCCGTGAAACCAAGCATTCCACACGGTCCTTGCAAAGAAATGAAGCATGTCAATGACCCAGGCTCTTTCACATTCAGACCACTGAACTTGGTGATCAGAAAACAAACAACACAACTGCGCCCTATCTCTTCAATGACCTGGCACCAAGTTGACCCTGGACACCCAGGCTCTGGCGGAATGGTTCGGCAGATTTCCCGCGGTTTGGCCTCTGAGACGAGTACCCTCCAAACGGGACCCGTCGATGGACGTCGACGTCCTCCCCATTGGTGGTCCCACTCCAGGTCTCGGAGAGCGCGCGCGAGACCGCGAGAGAGGTCTTCGTCTCTTCATCTCTTCGCCGCGGCTCCGGCCAAATCCACAGGGTCTTGGCGTCTTTTCGTCTTTGAATTCCACAGGGTAAACGTGTTCCGTCCGAGATGGATCAGAGCCAGAAAAAAGAGAGATCACACGGTTGCCCGTTGGTTGGATGAGTCAGAAAACATGGAACATGAACCCATCATGTTGAAACATGTTTGAACCTTTAAAGAATTAATAAGAATTACACTGCCATCAAGTTGCCCAACCCTGTGGCTGATCCATCAGAACGGAACAAACAGCTCAGCTCCCTTGTCAATCAATTGCGCGGAAGCGCTGATATCCCTGTCCCATTGCATCCCAAGAAATGCAATCTTTACACGAGATACGACCATCACATCGTGCTTGTTCCCGTCGGCGCCCATCAACTCAGGTGTCAATTCCTGCTTGACTTTGTCGCCGGAAATGTCGATCTTTTCGATGTATCCTTGTTCGATGCCCCCGTTGCGGTCCCGATAGATATACACAGCTAGCTGGTCGTCTGGCTGATAGTCATCCATGTAGACTCTGTCGTGCCAGCCGTTCTCCTCCACCATTTTGGGGTGAAACGTCTTGTCCTGAGACTCATTCCTCGCAAGTACCGCCACCATATCTCCTGGCCACTCACGAGAGTACATTCGGATTTCGAGAATTACTCGGACTTTGGGACCACCTCCTGGAACAAGTTCATGAACCTCTTCTGGAGCTTTCTTGCAACACTGCATGTTGGCAGTAGCCGCTCCGTTTTTCACCGCGCGCGGTTTGCGCTCTAGTTCAGCTCCCGCGCGAGCCCGCTCGCTCCGAGCCGAAGGAGGCTGAAGGTTCGGAGAGCGAAGAGCGGAACCTTCGGGGTGAACGTGACTTACAACTTGTGCAACCCGGCTTGAAGTAATACATATAATACATAAATTCAATATGTGTCATCACTAACGCTTGCAAAACCCCAATTAAATTGCTGATACCACCACACCGCTGGGCAAGCTGTGCCCAAACGAATTCGCGAAACATGGCAAGCGAGCTAAGCGCCTGGCGCCTGGCTACGCACGCGAATCTTGATCTGGTTGATCCCATGCTAAATTATTAGTGCCAGACATTGCCCCAGCAGCCCCGCACCCAAAAATTGAAGATATCAATGCAACATCATAACTGGCAACATACAAAAGTCAGCTCCCCTGAACCCCCGTTTAATTCCTATTGTTTTCCTCTTGCTGGCTGTCTGACCTTTTGGACAAACGTCGCTGAACTTCAGCCATACAGGATTTCATTACATCTTTTGAATCACCCGTTGCATCTTTACAACAAAGTCCAAAATGTTTGACCAAGTCTAAAAGTTGAAATCCCTTCATCCACGACAAATCCACAGCAAGAGAGACCCCAAGAATGCACAGGCAGCCCACAAACCGGCCACCCCCCAGAAAAACATCCAAGTCCCAGCAAAATGTCCACTGTCCTTCTGGATGTCCTTCCAAAAGAGCTCCTCGGCAGCGGAAACACTCGGAGAGGCGGCGTGCTGCTCAGTCCAGTGGGAGGTGACGAGACTTTCACTAGGCCTCTGGGAGGTGGTCGTGTAGTTACTTTCCGTTTTGGTGTAAAACTCCTCCTTCTATACCCGGTCCTAGACGACCGCGGGATTCGGTCAAGGGAGCGGTAGATGGGATGAGAACAGAGTCCGCAGGGGTCAATGAAGCGTGGCTGGTTGAGATGGCCGTTGACCTCGCGGAAGCTGATGGCATCGGTGCGCTTTCAGGTGTCGACTATAGGGTCCCCCAGGCTGCCAGCTGCCATGACCCACTGCCATATCCACATGAATCCATGCAATCCCCAAACAAAACGCACCAGCTTCTGGTCCATGCTCGACGTTGCGGTCTAAGGCTCAGTATTTCCCATGTAGGCCAACTTCTGAGCAGCGTTCCTCGGTACTCCACACACTTGAGCAGCATTCCAGGTACCAGTGGCCAGGAGATGCTAGCGCAGGTCCCACGCGCGCGCAGGACAGGCCGGAAAAAGTTCTCTACTGGTCGTCCGTTCTGTTCAGGTGTTCGAACTCAGATGAAGGGTCATCCGACGGAAAAAAACCCGGGTCAGATGTCTCGTCGAAGCATCCAACTGGATGATGTCCTTTCATCCAACTGAATTCTCCACCTTTTCAATCGCTCTTCCACCGGAACGATCACCGTTCTTTGCCCAACGATCGTTCCGGAGACAAAGCGACAGGATCCTTCGGGACGAAGACGGAGCCCAAAGTCTTCATCAAAGGTCTTCATGAAGCCGTGGCACTGAAAAAAGATGAAGAAAAACAAGTGTTTCCATGTTTCCTGTTTGTCCTTCGGTCTTTTTCTCATATTTGTTTTCTTCTTCTTGGTGCTTCTGAAGCCGTGGCACTTGTATTCTTTCACGAAGACCTTCTCCGCTCCAATGGACTCGATGAAGCCTCGCTGGCGGCACTTCAGGGCGCCGAGCCGAGCGTTTGGCGCTGGGTTACGCGTCGTCCAGTCCGCGGCTGGCCAGGTGGCTTGGGGAGAGATCTTGCGTGGATGTTCTGAACGAAAAGAGGTTTACTCATGACCAGCCTGGCGAGTGCCACGCAGGCTTGTCCCTCCACTTGTGGCCACTTAGTGGACTTGATTTCATGACAGCCACAAGTCCACTAAGGGGTCCAAGAGCCAATTTGATGTGCACCAGTGCCCCTGCCCCTCACATCTTCTGCATGTCGCACCCATGGATGGTCTCTCTGTTTGTTCAAGCAGCCCCTTTGCCTTCGACCAACCACTTCGGCACGTCTTGGACCAAGGTCCGAACCTCCCGACCAGCGACCCAGGTCCGATTGACCAGCCGAAGACGACCCTTCCGGCCTTCTCGGGTCGCCTGGGCATACTTCTGAAGCTCTTCCACGCAGTTGCGGATGTCGTTCCTCGGCTCCCCACATCGGCGCCCGGGCGTGGAGGGTGCAAACCGGTGCACAGCGCGGGGGAGCGGGGCCAGGGCCGGCGTGGAGCGGGACGCGGGAAGAAAGAGCGGCGTCCCCGTGCTTCATCCCGAGCTCGAGACGACCTGTTGCTATTCTTTGAAGGGACGGATATGGTGGAAGAAAACCAGGTTGAAGCAACTGTAGGAGTTCAGAAATCTCCCACAAGTTCCTGGGTCAGTCAAGCCTCCTATGCCTAGGCGTTTCGTTTGTTTTTTTCAACAATCCTTTGAAGAAAGAGAAACAACTTGTGCCAAGTCCATACGGGTGTCGTCCCAGTCCAACTCTAGACTCTAGACTCCAGAGTGTTTACCCATGGATCTTTGTGAAACCTTGAGAATCACCTTAGCTCCATGATATGTAAAGGAGGCTCACTTTGAGACTGGGAGGGGGGGGGTCGGGAGCGCGCGGCTCCGGGATCCGGTGGCCTCTGGAGCACCCTTGTAGCCTGGGGATGTGTGGGTGACACGTCAGGTGCACGGCAGGCGGAGAGGCCACACGGATCCGCAGGGTATCTACCGGATTGTACCGGGTGTCGGCGAGAAGAATGCCCTATGGCCGCGAGTAGTGAGTACACCTCAAATGGCGAGACAGCTTGCCGCCGTACGCCCACCACAAGGAAGTGGCTTGTGGTGGAGGATGAGACATCCCTGCAAGTTGCTAGAATCCGGAGGCCGCGGTCAGGCGTGCGGAGGCGGCCGAGCAGCAGCTTGATCTCCTCGTGCCTAGTGCGTCCACACGCAGCCTCAGATGGGATGACCTGTGGGTGATCTGTGATCCTGATGGTACAGACATGGGTGTGTAATAGTGTTGGATATTTGGATATTCAAGTAGGGGGACACCACCCCTGGCCCCATGGGACTGTATACCACTGGACATGACTGGACGATTTTCTGAACCTTCCAGAGGGTGCTTGGGAAGTCTCCCTACTTTGATACAGACCTATGCTCTGGGGAGGTTCTTTGGCCCACCAAGCCACGGATTCATGGAAGGAGATTCTGAGCTTGCTCCCGCAAGGATTGAAGACCAAAGGTACCAGCCGGGTAGACGTGTGGTTTGCTCTCCTTTTGGTCCTCAGGAGCTTCCACCATGCAATAGCTGCCCAAAGCCATACCCGCTCCCCACTGGACTCGCCTCACACAACAAACACAACCCAGCCGCCCCAGCCGCCCCAGCCGCCCTCACCCCAGATATGCCCATATCTGCCTTCATCGCCTCGGCCCGCTGCTCGGGATCCTTCGGGAAATCCTCACCTCGGCGGCACGCAGCGTTTCAGTCGGGGTACCCGGTGCTGCGCCCAAGGGAGGAGCCAAACGCTTTGGGGGGAAAGAAGAGAGAGAGAGAGAGAGAGACTATCGGTTTTCTCATTTGGGATCGAGAAGACACCTGAAGCTGCCGGTGGACTATCGGTGCTTGGGCTCTTCTTTTCTGTTCCTTCTTCATCCCCCGGGGTTCTTCGTCCGGCTGGCGGAGTTGACTTCCAGAACGTCGCTGGTGTGCGCGTGGAGCAAGGGGTTCGGCATGGAACTCCAGATGGATCACACCCCACCCCCGATTCGTCCCGGCGTGGCCACCGAAGGAGAAGAAGTCGAAGAACGCGTCGGTCTCGGATGAAACGCCGAGGCACCGCCTCGGCTTCCAGCTTTGTACCTCAAAGAAGCTGGACTCAGGGCTTTGGAACGGCATCTCTGTGGCGTTCACAGTCCGTCCACGGCCAGTGCCTGCCATGCCTCTTTTCTGTGCCTTCCATTGATTCATGTATGGTCTAAGCCAGCGTATCACCACATCCACCAGGTCATCCAGTCGGTCATGCACAACCTCTTCCGGCCCAACCCCCAGCGCCCAGCACGCCCGCACCTCTCGTGCATCTGCAAGACGGACTGCATCACTCTCCTTCTGGGGCCAACGACAAGAACACGGAGACCCTGGGGACACACGGCTGTGAAATGGATCAGATGGATGGAGAACCTCATGGTGTATGGACAATTGAATGGCCCCTTGCATTTTTGTTGGATGACCCCAACAAAGAAGTGGTGGTCTGCTCCAGTCTGTTCCACGTCACCTTCGATGACTTCAGACGCTCTTGAGCTCTTCACCTGGTGATTCGAGGTCGGATGACAGCAACCAGCCCAACCCACTTTTTGAACCAACGTCGACGGTCTGTCGAACTTACCGGTCTCGCTGTTCTTTCAACGACGAAATCCAACGCCTTCGTTCAAAAAGAGTGACGCAAGCATAGAGGTCGTCGAGTTGCAGAAAGGCTTTCCAGGTCACCAGTGCTCCCTCTTCATTGGAGAGAATAAGCGCCAGGTCTTCAGAAAACCACTGGTTCCCACGGAAAAAGACCATTTATATAGACCCGAGGTTGAGAAGTAGGATGTTTGGTTTTTGCGGAGTGACCCGAGTTTGAGTCAAGAAGAACTGGAATCCGTTCCTGCCCGCTGTCGAAGCGTACTGAAAAACCGAATATGAATGAATATATATATATATATATTGATACCAGGAGTCACATGTCGGGGTGGTGTTTAGTCCCCAAGTGAGTTATCCACTGGGCACCCCGTCTTCCTCCATGGATCGCACCCCTAACCTTGTGACTGCTGGTATATACAAATATATTTGTTTGTTTTCATATGACTGCTGTACCAAAAAGAGCCTTCGGATGACCTCACCGGTGCAGGACTGGAACCCACCGGAACCGGCACGACGTCGCCGCGGTGACGCGTCGTCTGCCGCCGCCTTTCGTCGGTCCTCTTGGGACGAGAGGACCGGTCGTCCGCCGCGTCGAGGCCTTGAGAGGAGGCGTTGGGTGGACCCGAACGGTTGGGCACGAAAAGACATGAAACCCAGAATGGACACCACATGAACTCTTTGGGATCTAAAAATGAAAGAACCTTTAAAGACATGAAGAAAAACATGCAAAGCAAACCTATGGAAACCGCATTCAATCCATGCGCCGAAAGAAATCGAAACCGACCTCGAAAGACCTCGAAACCGACAGCGAACGTTGCGCTCAAGTTATAAGCGATGGGAAGACGCGGCTCGGTCCCGGGGAAAGGGGGAGTGCCAAACGACGGCCCACCGCAGACGGCCAACCGAGACGGAGTCAGACGAAGTCGGTGTGTCCCACATATGACGGTTGACCCGTCTCCAAAGAAACAACAGCTAAACGGGCGAGTCGAGATTTGGATTGTTTTTTGCCTACAACCCGCCACAAAAACAATCCGGGTTCAAGGAACAAACTACAAACATGTTCGTCAGCTGAAGGCAAATTACGCAACTGGATGCCAAAAATAACCTCCTCGTATTCCAGCATACCAGTCTACACGCAAAAGGTTTCAAAACAGCAAGCCCACTATGTACACCCTTCTGCTGACAGATGCCGAAGTGCCATCAGCCAAGCTTGCACTGGGTCTGGCAGAAGAAACCTGAGGAAATAGTGTATTCAGCAAACAGGTGGGCAACGAGTCAGAGAAACCACAAATATAAAATTGTCTAAGTGTGGCCAAGAAGTATTTTCGCGGCGTCAAACAATACTTCCCAATGATCAGACTCGACTCTCACGTCTATTTCTTCAAGATTTGCTGAAGCCAAGAAACCAAAATCGCACAGCTGGTGGCAATGGAAAGCCACCGAAATGACATCAATACATGGAAGGCCTGAACAAACCTACGTGGAAAACGATTGGCTACCGGGGATGTTCCCCGCGCGCAAATAGCCGGTCCACTGGGTGACAAACATCGCGGCGAAAAACATGACTGAGCGCAATCCTGCGGATGAAAAGTTTGATCAAATGTGCATTGTTCAGTGTTTTCCTTGTCTAGTTTGATTCGGAACATGAACCGCTTGGAGTACGTCATTCTGCAAACAATGGCAGCCATTCTTGTTGCGCACACACCGCAGGCCTGCAACCCTTCTTGTTGAACAAGTGGCAAAACCGTATGCATGTGTTGGTTCAACATGTTACGTCTGAACACATTCCATGGCCAGCAAGGACTTAAACCAAAGAACACTAAAATTGTGAGACAAAAACTTGTTTGTTGCAGAAAATGGGATGGTTTTCTGGTGGACCCAATGTGTGAAACCATGAAATCAACAAGCAGATACTTTCCAACTTTCCGAGCGTGATACAGCCGCCAGCAAAATGGTCAGACCCTTCTGCGATCTTCCGAGCCCGGTTAAGCAAAAACTGTCTACTCTACTCATTTGTGTGATCGTGTCACCAAGGATCTGATTGGCCAGGACACTGTCACTGGCCAAACTACTCCACAAACGTTGCTGATGTAGGAATGTGTCCACAGTGGTCTGAATGACAACGGCTAGTTCCTCGACAGTTCGCAAGCCCAATATGACCTAAAATTAACTGCAGTCAGTGCGCAGCCATTTGCTACTTCATGTGAATTGAAAGCTAAACTAGGCACATACTTTGTCTCGGGATGCACCAAGCCCTGCACTCATCTTGACATGACCCGAGCTGGCGCCTACCACAGTTCTTCATCCCATTTCCAAAGGTCCCACTGAGGATTGCATGGAAGGACTCTTGCTTCCCAACTCATCATATGGCCTTTTTTTTTGCACGGGTGAGGGCGCTGTGTGTGCCGAAAGGCACAAGTCACCTTAAATGAATTCGAGAAGACAAATGAGAAGATACGAGCCATAAGAGCCGAGGCAAACCAAAACGGAACACCAAAAACCAAAACAACCAAACAAAAAACCAACCCCCCAAACAGAAAAACCCGAACCGAATCAGGCTCATATCTTCTCGTGATGTGAGGATGAAAGTGAAGATCCGAAGATCAACAACGGGTGTGAAACGGGGCGATGAATTCAAAGCTTTGGCTGCACTCAGTACAAGAGGACCATCACGTAGCAGACATCCTGTTTGTGAGGCAACGAGTTTT